CCCATTATCGTCCATAGGTATGCTACAACACATGTATTAAGTTTAGTCTTGTTTAAAGTTATATTTTCTTTAAAACTTAATGGTAATGGTAATATTAACCCTTTCCCGACAAGGAAAGATAAATTCAAGTAAATTTAATTTTGCATACTGGGAAATAAATTATATTTCTATCAACGAATCTTTGGTAGAGCATAGGATTAAGAACTATCAGATCCGTTTCTCTCTAAGCAGTCGGGAGTGGGGTCGACATATTAATTAAATGTACAAGGGAAAGCGTTAGTCAATAAATTGCCTACATGCATCTAAATAAGTGGAAAGTGAAAATATTAACTGAATGCATTCCACAGGACAAAGGAAAGAGGACTGATAGCTTTTATTAGAATGTTTGGTAATGTTTAACATTTGTCCCTGTAAAAAAATGGCGTCCCAAAAGAACGGTTATTCACTTCAGTGTTTATTTAGAAGATTACAAAAATACATGAACCAATTAAAATGCAATATTTTTATTCACCATGTATAAAGATGTATTACTTACCGTTTTTTAAAGAAATAAATTTGAAAAGAAATCTTTTTATACAAAAATTTCTTAAAATTTAGAAAATATGTTAACCAACTACTATGCAATATTAATTATTTACCTTTTATAAATAACTATAGAAACAAGTTTTTTTTTTATTCATGATTTTATAAAAATACCAATGAGTTATAGGACAAGAAAATTTGAATAAAAAGGATTTTTTCTCGGATTATTTTATATCTCACATTACTTGTTTAAATTTTCCATTTTCTTTTATAAATTTATCTATAAAAATATTTATTTCCATATTTATTTTTTATAAAATGGAAAATAATAAATACTTCGTTATAGTTAGTTTACATATTTTTATAATCTTGTAAATATAAAATTATTCTTGTAAATACACAATGTAATAAATAGTATTTAATATCTTTGTTGTCATTTCTCAAGAATAAAAACAATGTATAAATACACTTACATATTTTGGTGTTTTATTAAAATTCTAATCATTAGTTTTTAAAAGGGAGTGATAATGTATACGTTAATAGCGGTGTCAAGAAACATGTCAAAACATGCCCTTATATTTTTGCATGCATAAAGGTTACACGTTATCAAAAATTTAATCTTCTTATACGCCAGAAAGAAGATGGTGGTAAAGGAAGCGAAAACAAACACTAATTGTCCAAGTTCACGATATGAAGGCGGAACGAACAGAATGCAATGTCACCTAAACAGCGTGCCGGCATGATTATTCAGAGAACATCATAATGCCGCCATATTTGAGCTTTTAGATTTGATTGCTTGTATCAGAGTAATTACCGATTCAATTATTTACTGACAATAAATTAGAGTTGCCTTGTTACTAAAGAGACAAGATCGCAGACGCTACATGACAATCTAATTTCATCTCAACGGTTTACACATAACTAACTCCGAAGAACACATGGTTCGGTTATTATTTTTAGTACGTCTTTCATCTTATTTTTGTTGCCTTTTATTCCAACTCTCAGACTATCATTCTACTATTCTTCGTAAGTAACTTCTTCTTTTATGTACCGTGTCTCTTCAGGACGTAGGCGATCATGGCTCTCCACTTCCCCCTATCCATATTTAAATTTTGTCCCTTTGCTGCTTCTTCCAGGCCCTATTCTGTCATCCACTTGCTTAAGCTCGCTAGGTATGTCACACGTTGCTTTCCCTTGTCTCTCTTTCCCTCTCGTCGCCCTGTGAATATCAGATTCTCCACGAACTCCTTTCTCATTAATTGTCACAGAAATGTCAACTGCCTCTTCCTGATGTTAAGTATAAGCTTCCTCTTTGTTTACATCCCCTCCAAAACCTCATCGTTGCTCACACGCTCGGTCCATGATATCCTTAGAATCCTTCTGTAGAACCATACCTCAGTTGCCTCGAGTCTCTTCTTCATCTTTGAAGAGATCGTCCAACATTCGCTGCCGTAAAGGAGGACAGATATCACGTAGCAGTTCAGTTCTCTTTGTTACCAACGGAATCCTCCTGTCTCGTAATACTCTGTCTATATTTTGGAATGCGTCTTTGGCCATCCCAATACCTCTTCGGATCTCAGCGTCGCACTTACCGTCCTATGTCAGAACACAGATTGTAATTAAAGAATAAGCCTCTGCCGCGATGGGGCCTCGCATACGTTTCCCTCGAAAAGCTGTTTAAGCCACGAAGACTATCAGTTATGAAACCTCAAATCTAAGCATTCTTGAACGTCAGATACGCCGCCGTTGTTTTTCTTTTGGGAACAAATGAGTAGTATTAGCAGTAATATTATTTTGAATATATTATTAGATAAACCATTTTAAATTATTATTAATTAGGTGAAAGAAATAATAGTAAAGAATTAATGATAATTCATGGTGCTTTATCTAATAATAAAATTACTACTGATAGATTAAAAAAAAAGTGTATTACTACTAAGTAAACATTAAAAACATGAATACGAGCGTAAACATTAAACAAAGATGGCAGCGTATCAGACGTCTGGGAAAAATAAGGAAAAAACTGTGTGGTTGGATTTGTGCTTATGCTATCAATACTCTTCGTCGACACATCGATATAGTAGCTTCTCTGGATAGACAGGCTTTCGTGTTCATATATCTACAGTGGCTTACTGTTAGTTTATTTTTTCTATTTCCTATCTGCGCTACTTAGCGTAGAATGACGATCTGAGAGTTGTAATCAAATAAACAGAAATATAATGAAAGAATTTTTTAGGAAAAAAATTAATAATTCACAGATCGCAACATCTATCAGAGAGATGAAACTTACATTTTTATTATTGCATTATTCCAAAATTTTAACACATCAGCAAATAGCTATTAATGTCAACAACAGAGCACAAATCATACTTATTATAAAATCCAGGTTATGTGTGTGTGTGTGTGTGTGTGTGGGTGTGTGTCTGTCTGTCTGTTCGTTTATATATTGGATTGGATTTCCTACATTTTTCAACCGATTTCAACAAAACTTCACAGGACTACCTAAAATTACCTTGTGGTGGTTCTGACAGTGCCAAAAATTGGAAAAATACAATTGTTTTTGCATGAAATCAATTTGACAACACGATTAAGAGGCATTGCTGTCGCGAGAATGAAAGGGGGACAACTCATATCGAGTTATACTTATAAAACCCAGGTTGTGTGTGTGTGTGTGTGTGTGTGTGTGTGTGTGTGTGTGTGTGTGTGTGTGTGTTTATATATATGGGTTCGGATTTCCTACATTTTCAACCGATTTCAACAAAACTTCACTTTTTTGGCAGGTAGTATTTCTTATTGTCTTGCACACTTTTTTCTTTATTTTTACATTCAGAATGCTTTAAAAAAATTCCATTTACAAGGCAATTGTTTATAATAAAATTCTATTCAATCGGTAGACTCATAACGATTGAAAACAATGTTTTTGTTTGAGTTTGGGTTTGACCAATTCGTAAAAAAAAAAAACACTAATTAAGACATGCGTGTCAGTCAACCTTAAACAATAATCTTTGTCAATTTTATTTTTCAGTCTTTATGATGGTCGATACTTGATCTATCTCTTACTGTTACATACCCGGGCAACGCCGGGCTCTACTGCTAGTAGTTAATAATTTAAAAAAAAATAGTAATTTATAATATTATCCATAACTACATGTACAAGAATTTCGTTTTTGCTAAAAGTTAAAAAATAACCATAAATACGTAAAAAATGCGTATCGTCGATAATTCCTTTTTCCAAAATCTTCTGTCTTCTAATTTCTTTTTCTTTTATTATTCTCTTTCCTTCTTTTTGTCATATGCTAACACTCAGTAACCCCTTGCCTCTTAGTGGCTTTATTGCCTTCCTTGGGGTGAAATGATTAAAAAGAATAAGTGATTGAGAAAAATATAAAGAGAAATATATGAATATTGGGGATTATCTTATTATCCAATAATTATATTAAATATTGAGCATTATCTTATTATCCAATAATGCGTTAATACTTAATAATTCCTTTGCAATAGCAACCATTCGTTTGACAATGAATAAATCCCATGGCTACAATTTAATTAATTCATTGGGATATATTATAGACCAACTCAGATGTCATCATAGATTGTCTCACGATGTAAACAAAACTAACTAATTTTCTTAGTGCTCGAAGCTAAATTTTCAGAAGGAAGATTAGAATACACATGCCACAAGCCATATGTAAGCACCAACGGTTAGGTGTCTTATTTGTCAAGGCTCAGAATATTGCAAAATGTAATCATAGAATCAAGCAGATAATATTTACATAACGGAAGAAAGAAAAAATAATTTCCACAAATATTTACAAATTAAAGCTATTAACTTCTTCATTAATTATATAAAAATTCGTAAATATATGATGCCATGCTTAAACGCATAATTATTTGTTGAACTTATATATGAATTACTTGGCGTTGTTTTTCGAAATTGCAATTATACATCATAACATTCCCAAGAGGCCAGAAAAGGTAATTAAAAAAGGCCGGTAACGCTGACACTATTCATTTATATGATTTGTTTTAAAAAATAAGACCATTTAGCAAGCATTTTTTCCTTATTGGGAATTGGAAGAACTTAAATTTTTCAGAAACAAAAGAGAAAGAGATTATCGAAAGTTTCTTTTTTTTTTTTTGCAACATTTTTGCAATCAATTAAAGATATATAAAGTGGCTTCGCATCAATCAGTTTGCTAAGATGTGAGATGATTTCGTTCGGCGTTTATCTATCTATCTATCTATCTATCTATCTATCTATCTATCTATCTATCTATCTATCTAAACCTTTTCGTATCTATCTTTTCATTTAAATCTTTTAATATCTATTTTTTTCATTTAAATATTTTCATATCTATCTTTAAATTTAAACGTTTTTCTATCTATCTATCTATCTATCTATCTATCTATCTATCTATCTAAACCTTTTCGTATCTATCTTTTCATTTAAATCTTTTAATATCTATTTTTTCATTTAAATGTTTTCATATCTATATTTTAATTTAAATCTATCTATCTATCTATCTATCTATCTATCTATCTATCTATCTAATTCTTTTTGTATCTATATTCATTGATGATATTCTTGTTCTAGCATTAATTCTCGTTTATTTTTCGAAAATATTTTGAGAAGTCAATAGTTCTCACACATGTTCTTTCTTAGACGCATTCTTTTTCATTATTTTTACGTCATTCGTATTGATTTTGTCATTAAATATTTCTTGTCGTGTGTTAAATCCACGTATTCTATAAAATAAATTTAAATAAAATTCTCACTTAAAATTTTGAAAAACTTAGCGTTGCGTCTTTGCACGTTCCAAGATCGTACACAACCGTCAATAATAGCAGATATTCAAAAAACATCTTTCGGTCGACATACAATTATTTCGTCTTCAAGTTTTTGATTTTATAAGGAAAAAAACAACACATGCCTGATGATGAATAGAAGACTATTCATAAGTACTAGCATTTTAAGAACGCATAAACTGAAAACAACAGACATCAATTTTATATGCGAGGATCACTTCACTCTATGGATTAACAGTATTTTAATGCATACATTATACTACTAGCGATGGATGTCGCCAATAATCGCATTAATATTTCTGATTGATTCTATGTGTGATTATTTCTTTGAATATATATATATATATATATATATATATATATATATATATATATATATATATATATATATATATATATAATGAAACGTCTTTTAATAGCTCTAAACTTTTTTTATCTTGTTCTGATTATCATTCGCTAACCCAGAAAATGAAAAGGCACGCTGTAATTGTAGCCTTAAATAGCATAGTCATTTAGAGATTGTTCGCTTCCTGGAAGTTTCACTGTCGTTTGCTGTCAAAGTTCGAAAAGAGTGGGAAGCCGCTAACGAGGATTCTACAGCAGTAGCCAAACGCAAAATGATAGTTAAGGGTCCTAATACCATCAGGAAACCCACATTTGTACGAAAGGCGAAGAGAATTATCGATTAGAACACCATTAAGTCAATTAACGCCATTGCTAAGGAGCTCAAGGTTTCGGAAGAATTGTGCGTGAGGACCTCAGATACATGTCATGTGTGATGTGGAAATGTCAGTTCATGCCTGCAAAGACAAATAGTAACCGTCTGATCGGGGCAAAGCACTTGTTGCGCAAGTCGAAACATCAACAGTTTGGAATGCTTTGTTTTTTCTTTGATGTGAAAAAACTTTGATAGGAACTAAAAGATCAACCGAATGAATGATAGCTGGTTATGGAGAGATCTTTAAGACGTTCCAAGGGTCACATAGTTTCCTGCAGCTGTGATGATTCTAGGTGTCATGAGCAAAGATGGAGTTATCATGCTACCTCACTTCATTCCTCAGGGCTTAAGTGTCAATGCTTTTGACTATAAAAAGGTGTTAGAGTGGGGTGTGCGGCCTTGGATATAGAGCGTGAGCATAGGAAGACAGTACATCTACCAATAAGACTCTACACCATTTCTTAAGGCCAAAACGACGCAAGAATGGATGAGTTGCAATCTCCACGATCACGCCACCCTAAACATATCGCCTCTCCAGATCTGAATCCATTGGATTGCTGCTTATGGGCGTAGTTGAGAGTGAAGTCAATCAACACCCTCATGACACTATAAACCAACAATGTTCCAAATGGATAAAGATTATCTGATTCGGACACGTCAACGTTTCAAACCTCAGTCATCAGTTGTTTCAGAAAGAGTTTCAAGGTTATTCATGTCAAGAAAGTAGTAAAGGAAAGCAAGAAGAAAGGACTAACCAACAATTGTAAGAAGACAGAATGCACGTTTGTCTGCAAAATCTGCGAACTACGAATTGGAGACAAGCAAGTACAAAAGTTTGAATATCTGAGAAAAGTTTTAACGGGGGATAAAAATTATGATACGGAAATCCGAAGGTGCATTCCAATAACAAAACACGCCTTCCAGAAGTTAAGTAAAGTATTAAGAAACATGAAAACTTCGTTAAAAACAAAGTAAGAATGCTTAACTGTTATGTGATATCAGTTCTCTTAGATGACAGTCAATACAGGACAATGTAGTAATACAGAAGGATGTTGAGTATACCATGGACTGAACATATGAGTAACGGGGAAGTTTTAAGGAAAGCTGAAACAAAATGGACGCTTATACTTACAATCAGAAAGAGGCAGCTGAAATTCCTAGGATACATTGTGAAGAAAGAGGTTTTGGAGAATATGGCACGTACAGGCATGTTGAAGACAAGAGGGACAAAGGAAATCAGTGAGTAATCTAAATAACAAAAGAAAAACAGCGAGTAGTCTAAATAACAAACTTGTTAGATCAATGACTAGAAGGGATGGGGAGAAGGCAAACGTCACTAAGTGCTAATGGATAGGAAGATGTGGAGAACATTGATCGCCCACGTTCTGAAGAATATAAAAAAAAATGAAAGATTTACTATTTAATTTTTTAGAATAAAGTTCTACTGATCTACATATGGAATTCTTATAAAAGAAAATGTAACTCGCGACATCTGTAATAAGACTTTCGACCATTAAGCCGGTAGATATTAAGGGATATCTAATAAAACATGTATGGCCACTAAATATGTCATTTATAATGATATGAAATATTGTCGAATTAAAGCATCCATTAAATTGCTTATTACAATATATATCGAGAATCGGCTGTGCGGCTTTGATGTAACTTAGTAATTAATCAAAGAGAACCTTACTGCATATGTGTACAAATAGACACTCTTGTATGAGGTTTCTCATGAGGTATGAGGTTGTGAATGTCACATTTACACAGCGAATAGATTCTTCTTATTACACGCAGGTTTTATTTTCAGTCATAACAAATATATCTTGTATTAGCTTCGTGTACGTCAACTAAAATATTATTCATAGTGACGAAACATTTTTGCCTTCAGACAATTTTATTTTAATGCTAGAAAGAACTGTAGACAATGCTTATGTAAATATTTGGCTCTTCTGAATAAATCATGAAAGCAGTAAATGTGTGAAAAACAATGATTTATAAAAAGAATAGATTGAGGGAAAAAATTTCATCGTAAAACTTCGTACATTTGAAGCGTCTGTTTTGATCATAAACAAGTGGAAAAGGGAAAAGGCTATCATTTTTGTGTAGCATAACTTTGTCCCAAATTGTTTTAAACACGCAGATATTTAACCGAATACGCATGCGTATAGAAAAACTTTACTTAGTGATCGTCCATAAACGCACATAATTATGCATATGAAGAGTGATTACCAGGGATTTAGAAACAGCTATTTAATTATGTGTTGCTCATGTTTTCGCTTCAAAAATGGCAGCTACACAACAAGGTGGCACAACAAGGTGGCACAACAAGGCTCTGAAAATTTTGTTGTAAACAATCCGGGTTAATATTCCCGGTTGACATGAATTGGAAAGATTATTTCGAATCCATTGCTAGGTCTACCTCCAAAAGTGTTGGTTAACTGTGTTGTGCTAGATAATTTTTCTCTTCTGAATCTATCTTACATAACTATGTCTACCATTTCTATCTGTTTCACCGATAATATTATCCAGATGACATATGGTAGCATTTCGCAGTCTTTTCTTTTACTTTTTTCTAATCATTTCACCCCATGCAAGGCAGTAAAGCCACTAAGACACAAGTATGGCACCTTGCATTATTAGAAAAAAAGAAATATGCATAGAAATATGATTCAATTTTTTTTACTCGGTTTATTAACCAGTCGTTAGTTTTTTTTTAGGCGAAGAATAATTGAGTTTGAAAATAATTCACTAAGTTGTACTTAGACGATCCTAAAAGAAAAGGAAAGAGAGGAAGAGAAAAGGAAGGAACAGGGAAGGAGAGAAAGAAAGAGAAAAAAGGGAAAGAGAGGTCGAGAAATACAAAAAAGCGGTCATTAACAAAAACACGTATCAGAAAGGTAATTAGGCCAACATCTTGGCCGATTTTCGAAAGACAATGGGATTTGTTATTTAGAAGGAAAGTCATTTAGAGAGTGGAAGGGACCATGCTTGATAAGATTGTATTGATAATAAAAAAATATCGGTCGAAGCACATGACCGACTTTTTGCGTAGAAAAGACTCATTATCAATTTGGAGAAAGGGAAATTTTAGAACAATGGGAACGAAATTTTAATCGGAGGAAAAAGGTGTCTTTTTGGGATGAAGGGGTGACCGCTGGAATTGTGTACAGATTCTGACCTGTTAAGGATCAGAACTCCCACGATGATAGAATGGAGACAATTTCAATTCAGATAATTAAGATTTTTTGGCTGTTAGGTCTGAACGAATACAAAGGGGTGAAAAGACAATTGCTTTTGGCTCACAGGACGCCAAAAAAAGGCGGAAACAATTCTCCCTGAAGTCATATCTAATTAGCGGCGGCTGTTTTGACAGAACCCAGGTGAGAAAAAGCCAAGATTATCATTTTTCGTACGTGCGAAAAAGGCCAAGTTAGATTTTGTTTTTTTTGAACGAGGACGGGATAGACCACGCCCGATTGGGGACGTCGCGAGGCATGGGAGACGCCCAACCAGAATCTCATTAGCCGAAAACGGTCACGTGATATGCGGGAAAGAGGAGAAAGAATGCTTGATCAAGACCCATTGGTCGAAAACGGTCACCTGACATGCGAGAGACCGGGAGAGATGGGTGTGCGCCTCCCCACCAAAGGCACTGTGAGGAAGTAGGGGTGAAAATAATAGCGATAATGGGAAAACAGAAATAATGCGGCTATTGGAATTATCGAGAAACCCCTGACGCCGACAAACCCACCCCGGTTTGTTGCGGCGTCAATAAAAGCAGGACCCCAGTCGACAGAAAGGAGTTGCAGCTGGACCGCGGACAGGGATAGAGCCTGAACGCGGGCATCAGGCCCGATTCACTCGCCCCTTTGCGGGCAAGAGAATCCTCAGACAAGAAATCCTTCCACCCAAGTCGAAGACAAGAGAACTTCCAGCCCAAGCAGACGAAGAAGAAGATTGCTCGAAGGATGCAAAGAAGTTGTGGCAGAGTTGTGGCAGAGTTGCGGCTGAGTTGCGGGTTAGACGACCAGAACAGTTGGAACGCGGGCATCGGGCCCGGTTCATTCCTCCCTTGCGGCAAGAAATTCTTCCAGCCCAAGTCGAAGACAAGAGAAGTTCCATCTAAGTCGACGAAGAAGAAGATTACTCGAAAGCCGCGGAGAAGTTGCAGCTGGACCGCGGGCAGGGATAGAGCCTGAACGCGGGCATCAGGCCCGATTCACTCGCCCCTTTGCGGGCAAGAGAATCCTCAGACAGGAAATCCTTCCACCCAAGTCGAAGACAAGAGAACTTCCAGCCCAAGCAGACGAAGAAGAAGATTGCTCGAAGGACGCAAAGAAGTTGTGGCAGAGTTGTGTCAGAGTTGCGGCTGAGTTGCGGGTTAGACGACCAGAACAGTTGGAACGCGGGCATCGGGTCCGGTTCATTCCTCCCTTGCGGCAAGAGAACCCTAAGACAAGAAATCCTTCCACCCAAGAAGAAGAAGAAGAAGATTGCTCGAAAGCCGCAGAGAAGTTGCAGCCGAGTCAAAGACAGGCCGAAGAGTTGCAGGCCAGACAAGAAGTAAAGTTGCAGACCAAACAAGCAAATCAGTTCCACCTCAGTCGACAGAAAAGAGTTGCTGGACGGAAGAAGAAGAAGTTGAAATCAAGCCAAGCCCGAGATCAGAATTCGACCAAACCAGATCGAAGTGAAGAAATACAACTCAAGCCGAAGAGAAGAATCAGCTGCGAACGACTGATAGAGATTAGCCCCAGTGTCGAACTAAACCACACTCCGACATACACAATTCTAAAGAGTAGACGACTCGAAATCTTTAAGTTGTATGATAGAAGCTTGGTGCCATAGTCCACAGAGCGGGTCGGGAAATAAGAACAATTTTTCTTTATGTAACGGACATTAGATATAAAGGTTGTCACCCTTTATCAGTAATTTTTTGTCTCGTGAGTTTTTCTTTTACTTGTGTTTTGCCACCCCGTCGGACTCAACTTGTATCGGCCCCAATCCCTGCTGGTCCGTCTGTCTAAGATCTAAACACAGCGTGGGTAGACAGACCGGAGATCAGTACAGTTGCTTCAGTAACCAGGTATTGGAAGCGAGTTGGGAAAAGGCGAGGCTGGTGATCATCTAACCAAGGGTTGGGCAGCACGCTTGGAACCAGGAGGAGCGACCAGGAGGAGCGACGTCACAGTTAACGCCGTAACCAAAGGATTCGACCCTGGGCCAGGTGTAGCCCGTCACACAAGGGGTTACTAAGTTTAAAAATAAGAAAAAAAAAGAAAAACTTTTTTAAGGAGCGAAAACGAAAACGAGATATATAAAGCTAAGATTATATACTCGTTTTTACAAAATAAAGAAATAAAACAGATCATCGTCGTGACTATTGTTGAAAAATTTCATATTTCGAATGCCAATAACATCTAAAATGCTTGTATAATGTGAGTAACATTGAATAAGAAATTATTGTTTAATCCAATTCTCGCTGTTGAATTAAAGAAAGAAAACGAATATTAATCCACAGTCGCTTATAAACCCCGCCATATTTAAATGACAATTTTTTTTTCTTTCGACCTCTGTATGAAAACTCGCCGCTTATTTTAAGAGTACTTGTGTAAATGTCTTGATATCTGCGTTTAAGATTGGGGAACAAGGTTCTAATGTTCATTTGTACTGGTTTAATGTTTCAGCTGCACTGGATTAATGGCTATCATTAACAATTATTCAAACTAAAGATTCACTACAGCACAACCTAAGAAGTCTTAATTCACAAGTTTTTATACTTACACCATTATATTGGCATTGAGCACGTACCCGAATGTTTAAAACATGAGACACAGGTTCAAATCTCACCATCGTTGATCTGTCAGGAAGCTGACTTATTGACGTTATAGGGCGTGGAAGGCGATCCCAACATACGGTACGTTTGGAAAGTGACTGAAAACCAGACACCACGGGTTGACACAAGCCTTGTGAGTGAAATTGGGTTGACGGAACTATTTGGAAGTCGTCTATCTTTACGTTTTATCACGATTCTTATCATCGCTTTAAAACAATAAACATTGCCGATGAGCAATGGTAGTTAAAACAGTAGCGGTGTTAAGGGAAAAGGTGTCCTTTTGACACTTTTTTTTTCGGGCACGAAGGTGCAAGTTTGCCCAGATTTTTAAGGCAAGTTTGCCACGTTCATTTGGAAAATTGGATTAACACAATTTCTTCTACTATATGTAAACTTTTGTGAAACTAAGCTAATCTTAGCAAATCTATATAGTGTTCTGAAAAGAGAAGAAGGAGAACTGGTCAACTTTTTCTATTTTTTTTTAAATTAAAATATATATTTATATATTTTAGTTTTATATATATTTTTATTGCAGTAATTGAATTCTGTAAGCCTTTACATATCTATATAATGAATATTTTTTTTACACTAGAAAAATAATTCTTCAATTTTTCCTTTCTTATCTAAAACATTTTCGCCATATATTTTCTCTTCGAATCATGTGGATTCTTTTCTTTATTTTTTCTTAAATCTAAACCTTTTCATCCTAACGTTCCTTTCCTACTTTCCTCTCTTTTATCTGATAACGTCCCTCATTAATCACTCGAAATTCTTTCTTTCTTTCTTTGTTTCTTTCTTTCTTTCTTTCTTTCTTTCTTTCAAAAACATTATACTTTTCCCCTTACTCCTTCGTTCGACTTCTGCTACATCGGCTATTTTATTTTATTTTTTCTTTCCGCGTTTCTGTCAGCCATGTTTGTAACAAATATTTCTCTTTCCGATTTCCAATCGTTTTGACATCGCCAAAGGGCTTCTGTCTTTTACGTCGGCAGATCATGTCAATGTCAAAAAAAAATCCATTTCTGATTCACACACCATGCATAAAAACGCCCTTAGCATCGTAAACTCATTCCCGTTTCTGGATTTCTAACGTCCACTTAGGCTCATACGCACGAGGCTGTAGAAAATTTCATTTAGGCGCGTAAATTGAGCGTCGTTCACTTACAGGATTACCTCACTTTGGGTGAATGATATGTCAGAGATCCTACTCGAAATGCCTAGCTAGGGAAGATCATTGCTCAACGGCTTTCTGATTTCAAGTTTCGTGAGCAATCTCTTAAAAAAATGCTCATACAGGTTTGTTTGTTATTCTGTACATGCCTTTCTCTATCGTTTAAGTGTATATCATCATTATCATCATCATCAATCCGATGGAAGGGTGTGACCATAGGGTCGCTGCGCAGTGGAGCACCTGACCATTTATATCCACGCGCCTGGATTGGAAGCCATAGAGGAATTCATTCATGAGTAGTGTACGTATCTTGGACCTGGCGGATTCCATAGTTCTCTAGGTTAAACCCCAGCTGATGAAGGCACGACTTGGTCACGGATATATAGCCGTTGATCCCATCGAGTAAACCTTGCACCTTGGCCGTTGGCGTCGCTCTTGGAAGCTCTCCATTCAGCGATGGCGTGTCAAGTTTTCAATCCTGCTGAGTATCTAGCCAATTTCCTAACCAGAAAAAAAGCCTGGTGAAGGAACCGGTTTTAGTCGCCGATGTTCCGAGCATACGACAGTTAGTACTGGTTACATAGTAACTGTAGCACTCGTAGAGTGACCCCCTTTTTAATTTTTTTTTAAAATCATTACACCCCAAACAAAGCGGTAATGACACTAGAACGCAAGGAATTACAGAGAGTGAAAGTGAAAGAGAATGATAAGACTGAGTATAGATTACATTAAAGTCTCTTCTTTGAATTTTATCAAGAATCAAGAATCTCAAGATTTACAGCAGGATCACCAGACCAGATTCGGCAACAGTATTTAATGCACGGACGAATGGTAAATTTATGAATGTGCAAGATGGATTCTAATGAGAAAAACTTTTGGCACGACACAGTGAATAAACTTTGCTTGCAGTAGATGAAGCAACTGATTCGATATAGTCTCTCTACTTTGTGTCACTGGAAAACGTGAGGGCAAGAAGGCGTAGAATGTTGCTCTCCTGGAGTTTAGCATCAGCCACGCTGATGGCAGTTTGTGGACCCACGTGGAATAATAGTTTTTTTGAATAGTCTTGGATAAAATACTTAAAAATGGAAACGTTAAGCGTCGAGTTTGAATTCTAATTGAAACCGCTTATATCTTTAATATTCTTCAGGAAGGCATGAATCAAATTATTTCCCATACTATTTCATTGTATTTTTTTTTAAATATTACCTTGTTATTTACATACCACGATAGTAGAGAGAGAAAAACGAGTGGGTTATATGAAAAATACATTCTCTTTGGCAAAATGTTGTTATATTCATTGTCAGTGTCGACATAATTTGGCCAGAGAATAGCATGTGAAAGGACTATACAAAGACCATTTACGGTAATACATTAGTCTGTTGGCTTTTCTTGCAAATCCTCCCCAGTGAATTTATATTTTTACGAGATACAGCATACATTTAGCCTTCGGTTAAAGTTGGTAGAGTCCGAAAAATACACGTAAAAAAACAGCATTTCGGGTACCGCACTTTGGAATCATTTAATAAGAATTTCCTAACTATTTAAAGCATTTCGCCCCAAGCAAGGCGGGAGAGCTACTAGCACGCAGGGGGGGGGGTTACAGAGAGGGAAAGTGAGGGGAAAAAACTGTATAGAGATAATTGAGGAAAGCACAAAAGAAGGGATTACGACAATAGAAGATGGCGATTGACGATGCATTTAAATTTTTGAAAAGAAAGGGAAATCAAGTAATAGGAAGGGAGTTCCACTGTCGGAAAGAGCAAGAAAAAAACACCTGGAGTAGAAGCGGTGGTTACATTTATCTATTCCAAAAGTAAAAGGGTGGGACCTAGATGCCAATCTAGTAGCACGCTTAAATTAATGTAGTCCGGGCATCTGGGAAGATAGCTCATCAGAGCAGTTGCCATGAAAACATTTGTAGAAAAGACAGAGGGAAGCCACATCACGTCTATGAGAGGGTGACTGAAGTCGAGATGTCAAGTCAGGGCCGATTACATTGCAGATCCTTAATTCGATTTTGTCGAGAACCTCGAAATGAACAGCAGGCGCACCAGACCAGATATGGCAACAATATTTAACGTATAGACCAGTGGTAGATTTGCAGATGTGTAAGATGAACTCTGACGAGAAAAAACTTCTGGCACGACACAGTGAACCGACTTTCCTTTCAGAAGATGTGTCACTATTGTTTCAATATAGTTGTTCCACCTCAAGTCATTGGAAAACGTGAGGCCAAACGTGAGGCGAAGTGAGACACTCATACGGAGTCGAGCATCAAACATGCTGATGGGGTGCAGGGAAATTTTTCTGTGCCAGTTAGATGAGAGCAGTATAGTTTTGGAGGCACTAAGGTTTACAAGCCCTTTGTTGCCCCAGTTAACCACTGATTCGATAGTCTTTTCAAGAGCATCGGACAGGTTAACTTTGTCAGCGCTGCTGGGTTTATAATTGAGACAGGAGTAATTGTCTGAATAGATTCCAATTTAAAATCTGATGACATCAGGAAGATCATTGATGAAGATCAAAAATAGTGTAGGACCCAGGATAGAACCTTGAGGAACCCCTGCGTTCTTATGGAAGGAATTGGAAGCGAACCTGTTCAGAACGACCTTCATTTCACGATTCGATAAGAATGATTGGATTAAACCAAATAATCGTCCTGTAATACCATAACCCTGGAGTTTACGTAGGAAACCAGCATGATAAACGCCTTCAAGATATCTAAAGCCAGAACTCAAGCTTCGCCGTTATTATCAAGAGCTTGATATATATATATATATATATATATATATATATATATATATATATATATATATATATATATATATATATATATATTCAATTATAGGAAATTGATAACACTGTAAGAAGCCTGTATTTTTTCTAATAAAATGCATCATTTTTGTTTTTTTTCGTGCATTTTTAGGCTCCAGAAACATCGAAGTTTGAATTGCTAAATTTATATTTTTTGGCCAATGAAATCCCTCAAAAAAGGACGTTATGTTTTCTGACATTTACAGACGATCTTCAAAAAAAGAAGGTTCAAATTACTACAAAATCTTAGTGATTTTCCCTCTTGAATTGGTGAATAAAAAATAAATAGCAAATATATTTTTAAAACAATTCTTAATTCAATTCTTCATTTTTAGACTCAGTTTTTTTAGGCTAATGTTTTTCTATGAATTTTGATAACTTTTCTCTGTTATCCAGTCTTCGGTAAAAATTTTTGCTCATTTTGTAACTTTACTGATTAGACATTTTCAATATTGTTCAATTATCAATGGTCTCTATACAAATTCTATATTTTATTCCCTTTCCTTTTACTGTCAGCATTGTTAAAAAATAACTGTACAATATATATCCTCTTCAGATAAATTTACCTATTGCAGTATTACGGTTGTTACTGGTACTACTGCTACATATGCATATACGCTTTACTGGTACTACTGCTACATATGCATATACGCTTTACTGGTACTACTGCTACATATGCATATACGCTTTACTGGTACTACTGCTACATATACATATACGCTTTCAGCATAAATATAATCTCGAGTATTAAAACTTTACACAAAACAGAACATTATCGTCACACACAGATACAAATGAAAACAACTTGTCATTTGGATTGTCAAATATTTTCATGCCACACAGGATCGGTGAAAGGGTATCGTGCCCCCTGACTAAATCTATGACATGCACCCCCTCCAATCTATGAAACGCCCCCACCACTCTACTACATCTCAATTTTTATTAGGTAGTATTCATATAAAATACAAATTTTATTGCAACCTAATTATGCACAATAATAAATCATATGTAAATTGGGTGAATAATTCAAGTAGAAAAATTGAAAATAAATACAATGTATCTACCTATAAATTTGAGACATGTCATAAGAGATTGTCCAATCTTAAATAAATCAACAACAATTTTAATATAAATTTAAGATTTTTCTTGTTAAAAAGTTAATATTTTAACACATTCAACATTATGGATAGAAAATAGTGAATTTTATATGGTGTTTTTTCGAGCATGAATTTGGGCAAAAAGACCCCCAGAATGACGTCAAAATCTGCAAAAAAATGTTCATCCTTTAATAGTCAGTTGTGCTTAGTTTAATTTGTAACGTGTATAAATGTAGGTAGAAAAAAAAGCAAATGTTGGTCAAATAGAGAAGGTCAAAAAGCACTGTCTGCAGCCCCCCCCCCCAATCAGGTCGGGGGCTAGTATGCACCAGCCTTGGCGTTTCATTTCAACTATGTTTACGAACACTTCAAAACTGTAAATATATATTTTTTAATTTGTAGAATTATATAAGCTTTATTATCAATTGTCATGGGTCCTTACCTATAACTACAGAATGAACTCTTCCTAACACTATGTATACTACGCCTCTCAAGAGAGGGAAGAATCGAGTCGAGCCGATAGTAGTTCACTCCAAACCAGACTGACAGTCATACTAACACCTTCCACCTCTTGTATTATTATTTCGTGTAATATACCTTCGTTATTTCTACTCTTGTGTTCGTGTTAATCTTCCTTGGTCCTAACCTGGGCCATAACATCAATAATTTTATTTTCCTGAAACAACTGGGTTCCATCCGACAACGCTTACATAAATAAGCAACAGCTAGATTCCAGATCTAACTTGTAATTGAATGAAAAAACAAAATGTTTTCTTCTCAAGGATCATCATTTCTCGTATTAATTTTTGGCAATCTTTTCTTACTAAATTTCTCACG